AATAAAAAAAAAAAAAGACAATCAAATAAACTTATTACCAAACAAATAAATTAGTCATTTTGATTGGACTTTAAAGTTGAAACAAGATCTCATTCATTAGTCATTACTTTTAATTTTGAACAGAATATAATTGCTTGCTTTTGGACTTTAAAGCTAGCTAGGTAAGTAGTAGGGGAAATTCGTACCACATTCACGCCTCCACATTTGTAACTTTATTTTCTTTTAATTAGTCAATTAAATTTAAAATAACATTTTGTAATAAAATTATAAGAACCACGAATGTACAAAATAAAATAAATAAATCCATTGCCGAGTTTCCTTTGGACCCTTCTTGCATTTTGTTTTTCGTGACTTTTGAGTGAGCAACAGACATGTGGTTATCCTTGTATATATTTATCGCGTGAATGAGGAACGAATTTGTGGTTGTCTATTGTGTTTTTGTACGTCGTTGTTGATCGGTTGTCCGAACTCAGTTGTAATCTACATATTTACACTTAACGATAAAAAATAAAAAAATAAATCCAATAATCAGCTCAACTATAAAAACAAATTTGAGGGCACCTGAGTTACAACTAGGGTTGTAAACGAATCGAATCAAAGCGAATACTCAGAGATTCGATTCGATTCGTTTAAAATATTCGAAGATTCGATTCGTGATTCAATTCGATAACGAATTTTTTTTCTGATTCGTATTCGATTCGTTTAGAATATTCGAACATATTCAATTCGATTCGAAATTCGTTTTCAAAAAAATATTATAATTAAAAAATATTATAATTACAAAAATAAATTTTATTTTTCATATATTTTTATAAAATTTTGTTAATTTATGATGTTTTTTATTTTTATGTCATAAAAATATTAGGAATATAACAATATATATACATATATTATAAACAAAATATATTATATATAATTTGTATAAAAATATTATAATTAAAAATATTATAATTACAAAAATAAATTTTATTTTTCATATATTTTTAGAAAATTTGTTAATTTATGATATTTTTAATTTTTATGTCATAAAAATATTAGGAAT